AATTTATATACTTTTTTATGAGCCAAGTATTCTAAGTTCTTTTATAAATATGAACATAACTCTCCTGTTAATTTTGTGACCTAGGTATTATTAATACCTCCATTTTACATATGAAAAAACCAACACAAGGAGAGGTAAAGGAGATTACCCAAGGTCACAAACTGCTGAATACCAGGTTAGGGATTCGGTTGCAAGGAATCTGACCCCATGTCCATATCTTAAAAACTCTGCTGTTATTCTCAAGGTACACAGTCAAATATATGAAGATGTGACTTTTGCATGCTGTTATACCACATTAAATTCCCGTGACCTAGGGAACATCCCAAATATACTATAGAAGATTATTTCAACCATTGCCTCTATTGTCTAGGGCATCCGAAGACTATACCAAGTGGATAGTCGAAGGTTCATTTTTTTTCTAGATAGCTAGAGAACTCAGAAACATATCCAATTTGTTACAATGTAGGTACAATTTGAGTTCCACCTGATGGAAGAGGTAATTCCAGTTAAGAATTCAAACTAAATAGAAACAATTTTTCTTATGTCATATCCGGCTTTAGTTTAGGCTTAACATAGAGTTCTAGCATGCCATATTTAGGCAAAATAACAAAGCTATTAAGATATACAGAGCATGATAGACAAAAACAGATGAAAACCACTGGTTATGACTTGAATGGAAACCCTACAGTGTGAAAGGAGATGAGAAGATAAGACCAAAAGAGTAAGAGAAGTGTTATATAATAGTAGTAAAGGGCTAAAGGTAAAGACACTTGGAGAAAGCTGCTCCATGGTGGAAGCTGTTGAAATGGAGGACTGACCCCAACCTTTGGGACAAGTCTCCTGTGGTGGACAACTTGGTCACTGTTGGCACAAGCCCTGGGCTTTGGGAAGTCTGTTAACTCATTTAAGCCAAAAAGAAGCATGCATTCTACTCAGTGATTTGGAGAATGAATGGAAGATTTCTTATGTTTCTAATAAAGTAGGAATAAGTTATGCAAGAATGAAACTTAGCTGATTACTATGAGAATACATCTTTTTAAATCAGTTAATATTGGTGTTTTCTGCTACCTCTGTTTTTCTGTAGTTCCTGTGACTTCACATTTCTTCATTGGGCTATAGGGCTTCTCCTGTCTGTGGAGAACTAACTGAAATTAGCATGAATCCTGTTTTTCACAGAGTAGGAAAATCAAAAGCCCACCTCACACTTACTTTCTTGTCCTTACCTCCTTATTGTTCCCTAGTCTCCACCTCTGCTTATGAGCTGGCTGTGTTAAGTTAACCCCACATAGATTAAAATACACACATGCACGCGCACACATACACTCTCAGGTGAACTCTCCAGTGGATTCAGTTGTTTTCCGAAATATTTGGGGACTCTCACAAGAGGAGTATCACAGTGCACACCACATTGACGGCCATTTAGCTTGTCCTCTTGTTATCTTCCAGTCTTTCCACAAAATCCACACTCCAGAATAGGTGAAACCACTTATAAAATTCAGTGCCGTTCTGGGGGTTCAATGTTCATCAAAGTAGTACAGCAGGGATGGATCCTGAGAAGCAGACATAATTTCCTCTGTGTCCGTGGATGTTTGAAGAACAATATTATGTCACTGCTTTGTATGCTCTTATAAAGAGATTAAAACCTGCTTGAAAGTTTGGAGAACAAAATTATCCACTGCTTTGCAACCTTTTAAAAAGAGATTGGAACTTGTGTTTATTGAGAGTGCTCTGTGTAGGTGCTAGGCTGAGCACTTGCACACAGGATGTTTACTTAATTCTCAGAACCTTTCTGGGTATGTTTTATCCCCATTTTATGGGTGAAGAAACAGTATCAGAAAAGTGTCCAACTTTGGTACCATGGGGAAATATGTTTTGGAATACATGCAGAGAAGAGTAGGATAGTTCTTTTCTGCTCAGAAATGGAGGAATAAGAACAGGCAAAGATTATGAAGCACCAGGCAGTCTGCCTTTTGGAGCCAAGCCGAGAGGGATAGCTCCTTTTACTCATTTCTCTTCTCCATCCAAGACATCAGCACTCATTTTCCTTTGGAAATGCAGAGCTCATTAAACAAAGATTCTTCTGGTACCTATTAAGAGATTATTTTTGTCTCTAGTTGTAATGTTTCATTTAATATCAATGGGTATTTTATCTCATGTACACCTACATATTCCATTGTGCTATTTACATTTGTTTAACACATTTAATTAAGAACGCTGTTAAAAATTTAGAAAAAAAGGCCCCTTTTGTGAAATGTGGAAATGGAAGGTAGCATTTAGCAGGTTTCCTTGTCAATCATGTAGTCATTTTTATAATCTTTAAGGGAGTAATTCAGTTACCCACACAAATTCTACTTTCTAAGAACATACAAAGGGAAGGCTTTTCTTAAACATGCCAGCAAACCTACTCACTATGTTCCAGACACCAGTGGCAGCGATGAAAACATGACGCTCTTCAAGTCTTCATTCAGAAGGGTGTCTGGTGAGGAAGGGCAAAAAGAACAGAGAAAATACCATAGGGCTTTTTTCTGCTTGCTTTTGGCCTTTGGAGCCCAAAGTTATGTCATTTGCTCATTCCAAAGAGGCTGGTTATAAAAAGGTCTTGTGAGACACTTAGACATTTTGAAATGATGTAGAACTTCATCAATTTTAGTATCTAGCATTGTATCAGATACAAGCTGTCATTGCCGATATCCTCCAAGACAAGACTTTAATTTAATAATTCTGATCAGTTCTAAAGCAGGCCAACATAAAATATAAGCAGTTTCTAGTGACTAATCTGCTATGTGAATTTGAGATAAAAACTTGTCATATTTACATTTTGAAAATAATCTTTGTTGAGAAGTAGAGAGCAGCTGGCTTTCTGTAAAATTCAGCACCTTTCTGAGAAATCCCTACTCCTCTGAACTCCCCTTCCCCCGCAAAAAATGCTATATATTGAAATTCAAATTTAATTTTGCATTCAAGTTTATAGAATAAACTATAGAGAATTGACATTTTTGTAGGTGAAAAAATGGTCAAATTGTGGTAATTGCATGGAGCCTATAGGGTGCAATATATTTTTAATGTAGTCTAAGTCTCTGTGTGTCTAAAGGTACTTTTTTGGAAAACTATATTGGGACAAATTAACCTTGTTGCCTTGGTAACCTGCAAGTTCTTTCTTAACTTACTCTTCTTATCAATCTCATTGTCTTCTTAAGATTCCTACAGTACTGTTACAACATTTAGCTCTAGACTACAAACTCCAGACTAACACAGGAAGGGTATTATTGCGACCAAGGCATTTATAAGAAGTAGATAATTCTGTGCAAAGTAAATCCACATTTCCTCAAGTATGTGGTGCACAAGGTGATTTTATAAGTATCACCACAATTCATTTCCCCATTTCTAGTATTAACAGACATTTAGGTTGTTTTTGATATTTGTGTATTATAAGTGGTGCTTCTATGCTTCTATGTCTTTGAGTGAACGTATCTATAGTTTAGAATATATCCTAGCAATAGAATCAGTGCCAAACATACATGCCTCCAGCTGAGCCGATGTTGCCAGACATTTGTCCAAAGTGGTTATACAAGGTGCCATACCCTCATCAATAATTCCTGCAATTCCACTTGCTCCTCATCACCATACTTAATGTCATGTCTTTTACATTTTAGTCATTCTTCTGGATATCTTAACTTGCATTTCTCATGACTCATGAATTTGAACTCTTTTTAATTATTTGTTAACAATTTGGATAAAGCAAATCAACTTTCATGAATATTAAGTAGGTAATATAGGTGATACGTGGATATGTCAGAAAGCATAGGGTTATAATAATGAAATTACTAAATTATTTAAATTTAATATAACATAATATCTAAAATTTAGTAAAAAATGCTCTCATTCACAAATCTTTTACTAACTGATAATGCTCTGTTCCTTTAACAAAGCTTTTTCTCTGGTAAATTCAATTTAATAGAAGTTTACTGAGAGTTAATTATGAATAACCCCCTCTCCGGAATGGTGTGAGGTTACCAAGGCCATGTCATAGGCTTCCTAGAAGAGGTCACATTTAAACTGAGACTAGCAGAAGCAGGACCTGACAGGGCAGAAAAGGAAGCTAATGAAGCTTGGAGGTGTTATGATGTATGAAGGTTTTAGAAAAATTGCAAATTTTTAGATGTGATTACCTTAGCTGGTAAAGAAAACTGCCAACTTGTTTTCTATGGGGAATTAAGACTTGAAAAATGGCACTTAATATCAGCTCCCAGAATACCAAGGGCCAAGAGTAAACTGGGTTTAGGGTTCAGTTCCATTACATATTAAGTTGTGTAGCTTGAATTACTTGAATTAATTCGTATCATTTATCAGTTGTTTTCACACCAAGAGAAATATTCTCATGCATGAGTGGAGAAAATGTTTTATGGATAGCGTTTTGCTTTCTATGTTAGGCCTGATGTCAGCTCTCTGAAATGTAGAAGTGAGCAATACATTTATTGTCATTGAAAGTGTCTGGAGAAATAATGTGAACTATAATTTTTACAGCTAAGATACTGTTATAGATAAACAGAAAAGCACTGGCAACCTCTAGTTACCCAAATAATCACTTCATTGTCCTTTACTAGGTTGCAATTATTTATTTTTAAGTAGTGTTTTACTGTAACATTAAAAATACTCTGTTTCCAGAACTAAAAGCCATAGCCAAATGTATTATCTCTGCCTGTTGCCACCTATTAGTTTGCTATTAGAAACACAGAAGACCTTTATCAACTTATACTTTAGTATATGTTAATGAAACCATTCAAAATGATTAGACAGAAGATGTTTTTTTTCAACTAGTTTCAAAATTATTTGAAAAATTTTAACTATGTAGAGAAGGTCTACAATTTTTGAATAAAGCTTGTTCTATTTCAGGGCCAAATGTAAGTCAGTTGTTGAAAAAAAATTACAATGGAGATAAACATGAAACGAGTGTGTCTTTAAAGTTAGTAATCACAGCACGTGGTGTTCTTTACCTGCAGGTTGAAGAAAAAGTCCCAGTCGGTGGATGTCACTGCTCCAGGGTTCAACCCTTTGGCAGGTGCAGGAAAACAAATGCCACAAGCCAGTAAGCCACCCACCCCACAGACTCCCATCATCGAGGAAGAGCAGAACAACGCAGCAAATACCCAGAAGCATCCTTCCCGGAGGAGTGAACTGAAGAGGTTCTACACCATTGGTGAGCACAGGTGTTTACAAAGCAAGGAAATAGACGAAATCTATCTCCATAGCACTGTGAACGTGTAATCTGCTGTTAAATGCCCCCTTGCTTATGTAACATATATATCTTTCTGATTATTTATGTGGACATTTCTTACATGATCTGAACACGGAGATGGAAAAATACTGAAAACCTTTAGCTAAGTTAAATCACATAGCAGGCTTGAGGACCTTCTATAACTTGACCTAAGGGAAGTAAATTATATATATGCGGTTTTTCATTTTTTAAGCATATGTGCTACTATTTTTTTTCCCACCATTCTTCAATTTTTTGTTTTTGTTCTTTTCCCTTCAGGCTTTAAAGTCTCTGGCCCTGTTCTGTCAGTTTAGAACAGTAGTTGATGTCAGCCTGGAACTAACAAAAGCTCTAAGAAAATAGAAATTTTTACAGTCTGAGGGAAGACAGGCTGCACTGCAGGTCTCTTTTGGCCTTACACATTGCTTCACTTTGGAGAGACTGAATAATATCCAGACGTGTCGTATGAGAGAGTAATAGCCTTGCAGGATAGGGTCTTGTAGGCATTATGTCCCTTTTTACCCCATATGGAATAATATCCTATAATTTTGGACTTTAACTGGAATATTTGGGTAATTAATCTAAATAAGTCGAATTTACCAACTTCTGTGTCCTGGGATTTAACCATCATGTCTTTGGCCTTACTTTTTAACACAATAACAGCTTTCAGGGTTTTAACTCTATTTGAGACAAAAGTAGCTCTACATATCCTATATGTTAGAAGATGATGCGTAAGGGATACAGATCTATCCAGGAAGAATGTGGATGCTTTGGCTTTGCTTACTATTTCATCCTGGAGAGATTTGGTCATGTCTGAGAGCCTTAACAGTACAGACTGTGGCTTGATGGGTCCACCAGTGTCACATCAGAGGGATCAGGTTTTATTTGTTATCCCAATATGGGATTGAAATTTTTATCTCACTTATTTTAGTGTCCCTATATAGATATATAGAAATGTTAATGGGACTTGATTTCCGGTTCTTGATGGGACTTGATTTCTGGTTTTGATTTTTCACCAGTCTGTTGTGTGACTTTGTCAAATTGTTTTCTATATCTTTGGGTTAAATTGCATCCTTTGGGCTTGAAGCGATGTCTGCATGTGGGTCTAGAGGTATTTTGGGATTTGGCTGCTGAAACCATGCTTCCGCTTTCTGTCATTTTATGTCCTCTTGCAGGATGTGCTCTCGAGTCTTCTTTCCAGATGAAAATGTTCACTTCTTATTTTTCAACAGACATCAGGCATGGTGTCTTTGAGGTTGTCAATAGTCAAGTAATAAGAAGTGATATAAGGAAGTATAGACAGGTGCATGTTTCCATTTTTAAAACTTACAATAGCATAGTTCTAAAAATCAATCAAGTAGCAAAGCCTGTGATGTTTACATAATTGCCCCTCTACTTTTCAGTGCCCTCTCCTGCACGCTTCAACATGTCCACCTTCTGTTGCTTTCTTGACTGTAAACTGGAATAAAAGACACAATATTTTACTCTCAGAAAATAATGTTGATCATACAAACTCAATATTCTTTAAAGATGAGAAAATGAAGGAGAAGTACTGATCAACTTAGACACCATTTATTAGTAAATAAAGAGCTGTTTACTACTTATTAGTGAATAAAGAGCTAAACTTAGAAAGTAGAAGTCTAAATGGTGAGACTGGATTGCAAAAAGATGAACTATGAGTTATTTAAACGCCCTCTACCACTAGTGAATTTTTAATTATTGGACTACAACAATTTGATTCACAATCAATATCATGTATATTATTTTAAAATAGACATTTGAACTGTCAGCTTACTGTGTTTATGTGACCTTTCTATTAAATTGGACCTGGAAACATTATTTTCAGGGCTGAAATTTAGTAATCATGTAATGGCCTATATTGAAAGATCATTTCACAGAAAAGGTTTATTTCGGTATCCCTTCATAAATGGACCTGTGATAACGATTGAAATGACCATTTATTTACAGTTCCATAGAGCAAGTTAAGCTCCTTCTTCTATCTCAATTCATCCTCACAACAGCTCTGAGAAGTGGGTGCTATATGCTCAGCTTTTAGAAATAGGGGATAGAGAAGTTAAGGAGCAAGAAGCCAGAGACAAAGATTCTGCAAATGAAATTAACCTTGTCGTGTGACACTTTAGAACCAACCTTCTGTGTCACTCAGAAGGATACCTGCACAGAGGTGAGCCACAGAATTTTCTGTGGGGAACACAGTGAAGTAATATTTTTACTGCAATTCCCAGATAATCTCATTTAAGGAAACCCTGCCAGCTAACTCATCCACCAGCCAATATGCCCTTTCATTAAAAGGTATCTTTCAATGTCTCAATTTGTAGTTCAGACTGGAAAAACCTGGGAGTCCTCTTGTGGCCAAGTTGAGTACTACATTTAAATTTTGCAATGAAGTATAACATCAATACACTTAAATGAAATATTATATTTAAATTCAAGTCTTGATTCTGGGGGTTAAAGAATTTTTCAAATAAATATATAAATAAATAGAAAATTTCTGAGTTATTTAAATTTGTTTTAGTGGCTAATGAGTGGCTGTACCTTCTCTAGAAATTTCTTCCGATCTCATAGCTGTTATCCTTCATGTCAAGCTGGTATAGGATCTATTTCACGTTGAGAGAATTCTAGGAAAGATAAATTACAGACGCTTTGTGTAGACAATAGTTTGGGTTGTTAATTATTCCTAATAACAGAAACATATTAAATCTAATATAGCAGAAAAAAAAGGCACACTATAAACTCATTACTTTTTATGAGAGATTTAACTGGTCTTACAAGAAACATAACATTTAATTGATTTGGAATAAATAGAGTAAAAGCTGTTTTTTATTTCCATGAAATGTTTGAATTTCAGATAACTTTAAAGGAAAATAATCACTCTATCAGGACTGTGGTAAGGGAATAGCTTTCTCTGCCTTGCCTCCTTCACTGTTTAATCTTGCAGTTATTTACCATCACTTGACCTTAATTTTCTCATCCATACAATGAAAGATTTAGAGTAAATCAGTGTCTGTCTGAATACTTTTTCTCTTAACTCCAGTTTTACTTTTTTGTGAAGTACTGTATGTTTTTGATTGCTATGAAACAAATTACCACAAAGTTAACTGTTTTGTCAGCTCACAGTTACATGGGTCAGAAATCTACATAGCATGGTTGGGTTTTCTCCTCACGGTATCACAGGACTAAAATCAAGGTGCTAGCTGGATGGGCTAAGTTCTTATCTGCAGGATCAACTAGGAAAAGATATGCTTCCAAGCCCATTCTTCTTATTGGCAGAATTGAGTGCCTGGAAGTTGTAGGACTGAGGTCCCCATTTCCTTGCTGGCTGTCAGCTGGAGGCCCCTCTCAGTTTTTAGAAGACACCCTCTTACCTTGCCATCTGGCCCCCTTCATCTTCAGGCCAATAACTGTGTCCAATCCTTCTCATTTGAATCTCTGGCTCCCTCTCCTGGGGCTAGCTAAAAAGCTCTCTGCCTTTAAAGGGCTCATGTTAATTGGGTTAGGCCCACCCAGATGGTCTCCCTGTCTTAAAGTCAACATAACATAATCATGGAAGTAACATCCATCAAATACACAGTCCTGGGCATTATGCAGGTCTGTGCATCAGAGGGATGAGAAATCTTGGGACCATCTTAGAATTCTGCCTGACACATTTTACACCACCTACTGAGCATATACACACTCAGCTGTCAGCATGCTCAAACAAAATTGCCTTAAAACATTTCCTTACTATAACATATATTATGATCTTTTTATTCTATCCTATTTCACTTTGTGAATGGAATCTCAACTCAATAAATTGACTGTGTAGCCCACTAATGAGTTGTGACTTGAAGTTTGAAAAATCACTGGAGTAGATATTTGAAGTCCATCAGATACTTAAAATTCTATTATTTTTAAACAAAAGTGTTAATTAGAACTTGAACAATATAACATTAACAGACTGGCTCTAATGGGTAAATATATGAAAATAGAATTTTTCACTACTCCAATTTTTATTTGTACTAGATAAAACTACTGGAGTTTGATAAAATACATAAGAAATGTATACTGTTATGGTAATTGTAAATACCATAGTTTCAACTTAAAGATAGAAGATTCAATCAAAATGCTTCAGGTATTTACAATTACTCTGTTTCTTCAATTGTTTAGTACAGAGAACTGCTTGTAAGGACTTGTAAAAGAACTGTAACTTAGGCGTAGAGGTAGTCAGGAAGACTGTGCCTGCAGGGTCCAGAAACGTTCCAGTGCTCCAACGGGCAGGCTTGTGCAATTGCACGTAATGTTTGTTCCTGGCTTCAGAATCTAGAGCCATAGTTTTATGTCTCTATCCAGCTTCTATTAGTAAAAGATTCTATTAGACTATCAGTAAAAGATGCTGACGTCTCTCCATTCTGAGGATTTTCTCTGGACAGTTAGGAAGTAGGACAACTCTTGAACGGGTGTCCCCACAATAAGAGTCATTCAGTCAAACTCCAAATGCTGATTAATCCCAGATCAGTCCCTGCCATGTGAGAGCCTCATAGATGCTGCACAGAAAGACAGAATTAATACAAGAGCCCTGCTTCAAGGCAGTCATCCTGTGGGTGGGGGTAGGGAGCACTGGGTTAAGGTGGGCACACCTATGGGTAGAATACAAGACAGACACCCTAAGTGCCAGCAGTGGGGGGCCAGATGAGTGGGGAGCAGCAGAGGCCAGAGGAGCCTCACTCAGGGTGCTGTGGAATCCAAAAGATGGAGATGTCACATCAGACTGTAAACACACTCGGAGGCTCTTTATTGGCCCATAGGCCCAGCTCACCACCTCTGCCCTCCTTGCATATAGGCGCCCTTGGCATCTGGTACTTGTGTTGTACTGTCCGTCTCCATATCAGGTCTCAGCTCCTTTGGACAGGGAACAATGCTGGAATTCCATTAATCCCAGCACCTAC